AAAAAAAAAAAAAAAAAAAATCGAGCTCATGGAAGTAAAGAGTAGAACTGTGGGTATTAAAGATGATAAGGAGAGGTTGGCTAACAAATACAAAATAACAGCTAGATAGAAGGAATGAGCTCTTGTGCTCTGAATCACTGTAGGGCGAATATGGTTAACTATAATTTATTGTATATATTCAAAAAGCTAGGAGAAAAAAAAAAAAAAAAGCTAGGAGAGATTTTCAGTTGTGTTCACAACACAAATTATAAATGTTTGAGGTAATAAATATGTTAACTACCCTGATATGATTACTAAACATTATATACATATAGCTATATATCACTATGTACCCCACAAATATGTACAATTATTACATGTCAACTAAAAATAAAAGGAAAAACAAAGAACACAGATGGAATCTATTTTAACAAACAAAACTTGGGAATAAAAATAATCATAAAGGAAATATTGTAATCATCATGTCTGATTCCTATGTCTGTCTCTTAGCTGGTTCCAAATTAAAAGGAAAAGGATTGTTAATTATTGACTCAAACTCAATTACATTATTATATTTATTTTGCAAATGAAAAAACCAGGTTTGAGAGAAGATGAGCAATTTACACAAAGTCACCAAATTCGAAAGCATGTGGGAAACCAGCAGTAAAACAGGGACCCCTCATTAACTCTGAAGTCTACGTTTTTTCTCATATTCTCATGTGCTTGTTACTTATATTCATTTAAAACAGGCATACTTCATCAACATTCTCTAGTAAGAGTCTAAACACCATATGTAAAAGATACAGGGAAGGAAAAGGAAATGGAACTCACATTTTCTGTATCTATTATGTTCCAGACACTGTCCTAAGCCATTATTTACATTACATACTTTAAACCTCACAGACACCCTCAGGAACCTGCAGCAAGTTCAGTGAGAATGAGGTATCCAAAGCTCATGTGCTTTTGATTTACTAAGTTGTTTCTGAAGACCAAATATTAGTCTCCCAAATGATCGGGCTGTTAAATGTAGTGTGTTTGCCAACAGCATTGGTATATTTGCTTGATTCACACACTTACTGAACAGTTCTTTACGATGGCACAGAATACGACATCTGCACATACGAACACCCCTGACCGGCCTATGCCAGCACTGCAGTGAACAATCATGGGTCCCGTCAGGTGACTCTTCCTTGCATAACGAACATACGTTATGAAGCTATCTGCTGAGGCAGGAGTGCCATGGTCTGGCCATTTGGTGAACTGCAACTGTTTTACAGAGTGACTAGTTCCCGTCTATTAGAGAAAAAGAAACAGCGCAAGAAAGATATTTATTGATTTCTTATATTAGAAGCCTCATGCCAACTTCTAATATTCAAATGATAATAACAATAATAGCTATATGGTATTACCTGGATGTTATATAGAGCTTTCAAAATGTGCTCAAATTCATTTTGATGTTTATAAGAATTCTGGAAGTTGCTAGGAATAGAGGTTTTCTGCATTTTATAAGGGAGAGCACAGTAACAATAATAAAAATACCAGTACCAACAGGTAACAAAATCAAGCACTTGCTATGTACCAGGTACTGTGCCAGGGGCTTCACATGAATTCTCTCGTTTAATCCTCACAGCGACCGTGTGAGGTAAGCACCATTTTACCTCCATTTTACAGTTGCAAGTGTTAAGAATGTGGGGACTGAGAGATGTATGCTAGGTCAGAAGGCTCACGTGGTTAGAGTTGGAACTGCAATGTGGTGTCTCAAATTCTAATCTACCATCATTCTTTACCATGAGGGGGCAGGAAAACCAAGATTTCAAAATACTTAGAGTGAAAGATGAACTGTCATGTTGGGAATAAGACTAAAAGGCACTCTATCTTAGTTTAGAAATGGCATAAGAAATTTAATTAAGACATGAAGGTGTCTGACAAGAGGAACCAATCTCTTTCAGTGATGCAGACAGTCAATGACCAGGAGAGTAGATTGTGGGCCCCACTATTGTGCTGAGCCCCCGTTAAGTGCAGTCATGAAACTCTTCCCAGGGTTGTCGGACAAAGCACTTTAAATTTACCTATATCTCATCCAAGGGGATCATGACCCTTTCCTCAGTGTGAGGCCCTTATTTTACCAGACATCAGACCTTAATGGAAAAACACAGAATGACTTTCTCACTTCTCCTCTGCTTCTCCCTAGCGCAACTCTTTTTCCTAAGCTTCCTGAATAAAGGTGCTGGTGTTCAGACCTCTATTTTAATCCACAGTGTCTACTGAAATTAGATAGTTAATTTTATGTGTCAACTTGGCTGAGCCTCTGTACCCAAATTATTAGGCCAAATATTATTATGTGTTTCTGTTAAGGTATTTTTAAGACAAGATTAACATTTAAATTGGTAGAAATTTAGTAAAGCAGATTATTCTCAATAAAGTGGGTTGGCGTCATCTAATCAGTTGAAGGCCTTAAAAGAACAAAAACTGACTTCCCATGAGCAAGAAGGAATTCTACCAGCAGATTGCTTTTGGACTCAAACTGCAATTCTTCCCTGGGTCTTCAGCTTACTGTCCCATTCTGCAGATTTGTCAACTCTCCACAATCACTTGAACTAATTGCTTAAAATTAATCTCTCTCGCGCGTGCGTGCTCAATAAGTATATACACGTTTCTCTGGAGAACCCTAGCTAATACAGATTACTCCACTGATTTATTTAATACAATTTTCTACCTAGAATCATAAATATAGGAACCCTCAAGTCACTTTGGTTATTGATGACTTCTGTATTACATAGCACTTGACAGTGGCAGAAATGACCTGAGATCTGTAAATGGCAGCAGGAAGAAAGGGTTATATTTAAAACCTCTTTGAGCTTAATACCAAATAGAAAACTCAAGTTTGAATCATTAATAACTTGAAATTAAATAAGAAAAAAAATACTGGAAAATATTGTGAAGGCACTAAGTTGAGGACTGCTGTCACCAGACCACGTTTCAGGGGTTAAATCCCTCCTACTATAATTGACCACTGGGAATCCACACAAAGGTGGGCCTCATTGATTTCCTTACCCAGTGCCATGAAGATAAAGATGAGGCAGACTCTCCAAACATGAACACTATGCTTCTGAGTCTTGTGAGCCTTGGCCCAAAGGCTACCCCCAGACCTTCTTGCCAAGGCTGCACAGGTCCACTCTGCAGGCAGATAATTGCTCTGTGACTCCCACCTGGCCTATGTTCTCCAGGTCACACATCATTTGGAAAGGACTTGTTCAGTGCCTTCCTTCCCCACTAGACTCTAAGTGTTCTAAGAGTTAAGACTGTATCTGTCTTCCATCCCCGAAAAAGCAAAAGGAAGAATTCAAGACACTCCTTGCTGCTTACTGTTTTCCAATTCATTATTCCTTTCCCTTATATAAAAACCCCTCTTCCTTGTGAGTTTCATACCTCTTAGCTTCATCTTCCCATTGCTGTAACCCAGTGGCTAAACCTTGGTCAAGCCCCCACGTTCACTGAAGATTCTTGTCTTCTCCCTACCAAAGATTCTGGCATCATCGAGGGCAAATTCAGTGTCTCCATAGCCCAATAGACACTAAACCTCACAACAGGTTTATTTTTCTCTTGCAGGGGAAAATAATTCCTTTCTTCTGGTTCTCACCATGATGACCACTCTTTGGACTTCCCACCATCTATAATATCTAGTGTCAATTTCCCAGTTCTACAACTCCAACATCAATTTCTGACCCGAAGCTGTTAGGCTACCATCTCATTTGTGCTTCTCTTCAACATGTGACCAAATGGAGCTTTCTACTCTTTTACATCCTCCATTTACCCCTAGTTGGCCCCATGATCCCATTCATATTCCTAGACAATTTAGACTTCATGGCTGATTATATGAATTTGTGTACTAAACTCTCTAATCCTTTGATCCTTTGCTTCCTGCCATATGTACTAGAAAACATCCCACCCTGGGTCAATCCTGTAACCTGTATTCAGGGATCTCAATGTTATACTGCTGGAAAAAAACACATAGCCACATATTTTGTTGCTATTGCAAATTTATGGGTCAAACCTCAGCACCACTCAGCAACCCTTTTCCTGGTGATTGTGTTCCAGTCAACTTCTTTGGTGAGGACTCCAAAACTCATCACTCTCTACAAGCTTCCTGTTCATCCTATTCCCTTCACTCCTGCTAACACATGTATCACCTACCTGCCAACTGAATCCACTGGAGCAAGCTAAGTCATCATTTTCTCCTATAAACCATTCCTTCTCTATTTCCTAAATCTATTAGACCAACAAATCCATGAATTATTCTAGACCAACGCTTCTCAACAGAACTTTCTACACTGAAGCAAATGTCTTAAATAGTGGCAATATCGTAGCCACTATCAACATGCGACAAATAAGAACCAGAAATGTGGCTACTGCAGGTGAGGAACTCAATTTGTTATTTTACATAAATTTAAATAAATTTAAACTTAAATAGCCACATGTAGTTACTGTATTGAATGTATCTTCAACCCCTCCATTGTCACTTATAAATCATAAATCATAAATCACATATAAGTCTGCCCATTTTATCTGCAAAGCACTTGTGTCTGTGCTTTCCATCCCCATGCCAACAGCCCTAGTTGATCATGTCAGTTACTAAAATTCTTAAAAGTCTGTCAATTATCTTCATAATAACGTTCATGCTACTTAGCTTAAATTTAAGACATTTCACATTCTAGCTGGCCCCTGCTTACTTTTGATAGCCTCATCTCATCTTTTGCTACTCCCTGGCATTGAACTCTTATATTCCAGAAACACTTAACTACTTAACGTTTGTCTCTCTACATACACCATGCTATTTTATATTTTGATCATCTACTTCCTCCTTCCATCTTTCTCATTTGGATAATTCTCAAACAGATGTCGCCTCCTCCAGTAAACCTTCCCCCAAACCCCAAGTAAAGCTAAGTATTTACCTTCTGAGCCACAAAGTACCCAAGACATATCTCGACATTATCACTGAACACAGTAAGTGAGGTATCTATCAGTGAGTATATCAACCTCTCCACTACTCAGTAAGTACTGATAGTGCCTGGCCCAGTGATGAGCATACCTCAGGGACTCAACACATATCTGCCACACTTGGCAGAGGCAGGTATAACCCAGAATCAGACAACTTCAACACTCACTCTCCCTGCCCCACCTCTCCTTTCCAATTTTTTCTTTTCTCCAGGATCTGGTTAAGGAGTAGAAATGGTAGTGGCTTCTGGCAACAGGGACAAGTAAAAAGTTACTTTATAAAGTTTCATCAGTTTATTTTCCATACTACTCCTGCCTTCTATTTCTAAGACATCTGCTTGTATGATGAAATATATATCTAATACTGATCTTTAAAAACTTACGGACTTCTCCACAACTTGAAACATTCGAATGATGAAATAGTTAAGTATCTGGTAGTTCTCCAGGGATACACGGAAGTGTTTCAATTCCAATGGCTTCTTCAGAGAAATGGGCCAGTACTGGCAGCATTTGATAACTCCACCTTCTATCTCTCTGGTTATCATGGCAATAACATTAGAATTATTTTCCAACACCATTTGCCAAAAGTCATCTACGGTGCTCAGCAGTGGTCCTTGAGTAGCAATATAAAAATACTCTTCTCCACAATTGACTATTCTAATATAACTAGCATTGATGTAGTCCTTGCTTTTTCCAAGAGGAACACGTGTTGAATCATCTATTACAGAAACAGAAACATCTGGTAGATAAAGGTGGGAGATACGTTACATTCAGACTTCACAAAAGCATTTCACACAGGTAAATTCATATATCTCTTTGACCAATAGAGAAGTTGGCCTAGGAGTTTCATTTCAAAAGGGTTGAGCCCATGAGTTTACATGCTTTCCTCCCTGAAGACTATTGGCATGATAAATAAATACACAATTATGGGAGGTTTATTTTTTAGATCAGTTTTTAATAAACACAGAATGATATCATTAGCATCCAAGTACTTTTGGAAATTTCTGCTAGAAATGGCACAGGCAAGATTAGGTCAAGGGAAGTATATTCTGGTTTGCAACTGAACACAATAGAGGAGAAACTCTCTGTAGAAGCAAATGAATGACATTCTCCTGCAAATCTGTGAAACCTGCAAACCCAGAGCAGCAGGGGCCAGCGTAAAAAAAAAATCTGATAGTTGACTGCAGACAAATCCCAGGATTAATGGAATTCCACCAGTGTCCCCAAAACTAGATAGCAATATTTTATGTCCATTCTCAGCCTTCATCTGGTGATGGGGTATGTTATTCAAAGCAAAGATATTGTGGCAAAAGGATGCTACCAATGGGATTTGCTCTAAGTAATATGGGACTCATCTAACATGGACTGTTATAACAAATATGAGAGAGAAAAACAGCTATTTGGCCCAGTAAGCTTCACTGCTCCAGGAGTTTCTTCTTCATCTGACACAGACATCTGAAGCTCTGGTTTCACCCCCACCTCCACATTAAGAGCAGAAACAGCGAAGGAGGCCCTTCTCTGCAATGCAGCTCTCTCAATAATAATGTCTCCTTGCTAGTCAGAATCACACGGACCACTTATCTAGCAAATATGTTGGCAAGACCTGAACAGGCACTCACATAATATATGGCAGAACTCTTCTCAAATACTAACATAGCACAGAAACTTTCCCTTGTGAATACGAGTGAACAGAAAAAACGGCCAGCTGCAGTGGCTCACACCTATAATCCCAGCTACTCAGGAGGCTGAGGCAGGAGAATCGCTTGAACCAGGGAGGCAGAGGCTGCAGTGAGCTGAGACCGCGCCACTGTACTCCAGCCCGGGCAACAGAATGAGTGAGACTCCATCTCAAAAAAAAAAAAATTGCTAGATATATAAAGATACCCAGTATTTCAAAAAGGGAGTCCATTCTAAACAATCATGACAAATGTTCTCCTTTCTATAAAAGGTGATAACACCTTAAAAACTCCTATTTGTGTTTTAAATAAAATTCAAGAGAGCATTATTTTATTATTTAAAACAATAATATATATCTATGTTTACTAATATATGTTATATTACTAAGTATGTATAATAAATATGTTATATTACTATGTATATATGTATACATGGTATATACAGTACTCATCATATGTATGTATATATACGATGATATATGTCATATAATAATAATAAGCCTGGCAAGTGTTCATCACAATGTTAGCAGTAGTTATTATAGTATCTGAACAGTATGAATTACTTCACGGTTAAAAAAAAAAAAAGCATTTTTCTAATTTTGAAAAGAGATTAAATATGTGAAAATTCAATAATCTAAAATAATAAAAGCTTGATTTCATATAAAAGTCACAATCATTCAACTCAAACTCCTAAAGCAGGAATTGAACAGAAAAACAAATACATTATTTAGAAAACCAGCTTTAAAATTTTTCCCAGAACTCAGAAAAAAAAAGATTAAAAAAACCTACAATAATGATTAAAATGCTAAAAGACACAGAGCATTCAACAGGAATATGAAAAAGGAATTTCAGAAGCAAACTATGGAAGTCACTGCACAAAAGAAATAATTCAAGTGATCGTAGGAAAGCTCCACAAACAGAAGTGAGAGTAATAACAGAAGGCAGTGAAACATGCATACCAGGTTCAAGCAGCATAATACGTGGCATGTATCACCTTGTCAACTCCAAAACAAACCTTTGCAGGAGGTGCTATTGTATTCATGCTTTTCAAATAAAATACCTGTACAAAGTAACTTGTTATATGTTAAGCAGCAATTTTCTAGACTCCACAGCCTAGGTAAATCTAGACTCCATGCTCTGTTGTCCATCAAGGAAGACTCAACTTTGAAGACAGAAAGACCTCACTAAGTGTCAGACATTAATGAAGAGAGTCACTAAGACCCCTAGACCAGCAGAGCATAAGGCCACAGGAACAGAAAGCAAAAATTATGCTAATGGATCACTATGGGTAATGGCTACTGGTCCCACTCTCATTTCCACTCCTTGATTCTTTACTCTTGGCTATGGTAGAAACAGCACCATATATTGGATGCTGATCTGGGGCATACACAACCTGGAGAACATTACCCTAGCCGTGGAAGGTACTGTCACCTAGCTTTCACTGTAATTGCCTTCAAAAGGCCATACAGCCATTCAATCAAGCCAGCTGCTTTGAGAGGATAAGGAATATGGTCAGACAGTGGCAATGAGGCCATTACCACAAAGTATTTGCTACAAAGTGAATTCCTTGATCAGAGAAATTCTGTATGGAATACCATGATGGTGGATAAGGCATTCTGTAGGTCCAGAGATAGTAAATTGGCAGGAGCACTGTGTGCAGGGAAGGCAAATCCATGCCCAGAGTTACTGTCTATTCTAGTAAGAAAAAAGCACTGCTCCTTCCATGATGGAAGTGGTCCCAGTGTAATCAACCTGCCATCGGATACCTGGCTGATCATCCCATGGAATAGTACCCATCAGGTAGTCAGTATTGGTATCTGTTGCTGGCAGATTGAGCACTCAGTAGTAGCTGTAGCCAGGTCAGCCTTGGTGAATGGAAGTCCCTGTTGCTGAGCTCATACATAACCTCCATCCCTGCCACTACGGGCACTTTGTTCATGAGACCTATGGGCAATGACACAGTGACAGGGGTGGCTGGGGGAACAGTCTGATACTCATACAGCAAGTCATTCTATTCACTTGTTTATTAAAGTCTTCCTCTGCTGAGATCAACCTTTGGTGAGCATTCATGTAGGATACAAATATCTTTGTGCCCATCTAGCAAGGTCTATTCACTTGCCTCTTCCCCAGACCTTCTTGTCACTTTGTCATCAATTTTTCCAATCATGTTCCTTAAAAGTCCCTGACCATCCAGCTAAGCCATAAAACATACCCATGAATCAGTACAGATTTATACTTCTGGCCATTTCTCCAAGCAAAAAGAACTACTAAGTGTACTACCCTATGTTATGGCCACTGGGAGTATTTCTCTTCACTACTGTCCTTCAGAGATGTCTCAAAAAAGGGGTTGTAGTTCTGTAGCTGTCCTCTTCTGGGTGGTACCTTTATATCATGCAGAACCTTCTGTAGACCAGATCAAAGTCTTCTCTTCTTCTATCAGCTTATCATAGGGAACTCCTCATGAGGCAATAGGTACCGGCTGAAGACAGCAGGTCATGTAGCACGTGTGGGGATAGTGAGCATTTGGGCAGCTTCTTCATGTAACTTATTTGTGCCTTCAGGATCTGCTCAAACCCAATCTTGTATATACCACTTTCATTTGATGGTGGAGTGCTGCTGCATGTGCCCGACTTTATGGCTTGGTGGCCCATCGTTAAGCATTCTCTACGGAGGCCCAGTAGCAGGCCAAAAGCTGTTTCTCAAAAGGAGAGTCCACAGGGTGTGGCAAGAATTTGCTCTACAATCCTATGTCCCTGCACTGTGACTCACCTAAAGAGGTCTGCCAAAGGTCCAAACTGCACTCTTATCTGCCATGAACACTTCAGTCACCATTGCATATGCTAGATCATACAGCCTACCACGTGGCAGAGAGGCTTGCATGGCAGACTGAACCTGTTTCAGGGCCTTCTCTTGTTCTGGGCCCCGCTCAAAGCTAGAAAGCTTTTCACATCACTTAGTAAATGGACCAGAGTAGCACATCCAAATAAGGAATATCTCCTCCAGAATGCCTAGGCTCACTAGCCATTGTGCCTCTCTTTTGGTTGTAGAAAGAGCCATATACAATTTACCCTTCACTTTATGAGGGATTATCTCAACATGCCCCACACCACCAGACCCCTAGAAATTTCACTAAAGTAGAAGGCCACTGAATTTTTGTTGGATATATTTCCCACCCTCTGGGGACAAATAAGACTAAAGTGTTTGCTACTTCTTGTTTACTAGGTCCAATCAGCACAATGTCATCAATGTAATAAACCTCTGTAATATCCTGTGAAAGGGAAAGGTGATCGAGATTCCTGAGAACTAAATACAACATAGGGCTGAAGAGTTTATACACCCCTGAGGTAGGACAGTGAGGGTGTGTTACTGGCCCTACCAGTTGAAAGTAAACTGCTTCTGGTGTTCTTGATTAATAGGTATGGAGAAAAAAAATTTCCTAGATCAACAGCTACATAGCAGGTATGAAGGGGTGTGTTAATTTTCTAAGGCAATGAAACCATATCTGGTATAGCAGATGAAACTAGAGTCACCATCTGAGGAAGCTTACAATAATCCATTGTCATTCTCCAAATTCCATCTTTTTTTTTTTGTACAGGTCAAACAGGTGAGTTGGGATGTGATAGATATCAACATCACTTCGTCTTTAAAGTCCTTGATGGAGGCATTAATATCAGCAATCTCTTCAGGAATGTAGTATTGCTTTTGCTTTTTCACTGTTTTCCTAGGTATTACTATTTTCCTAGGTAGAATAAATTCTAGTGGCTTCCACTTGCCCTTTCCTGCCATAATAATCCTCTCTCCACAGGTCAGAGAAGTCATGTGGGGATCCTATCAGCTACTGAGTATGTTTATTCCAATTATACATACCAGGGCTTGGAAAATAATCACAAGATGAGTTTAGGGACCTACTGAGTCCACTGTAAAATGAACTTGAACTAAAACTCCATTGAATGCCTGACCTCCATAAGCCCCTGCTTTGACTTGTAGACCACAGTGATGTTTTGGGTCTCCTGGAATTGGTATCAATTCAGAGCCAGTGTCT